CTAAATCCACTTACCATAATTAAGTAAGCTGTTGCTTAGGCTAACTTGGGAAAAAAATTGCCGGTTCTTAGGGACGGGTTTTTACTTTATTTAGTATCCATTTTGTATCCATTTTGCAAACTTCATCGATTAGGCTTCGATGAAGCAAATTAAAATCTGAAACCGACAAGTCACTGAAGACACTACAGTAAAGTGAAATCAGCTATTCATTAGTATAGTGACTCCGATATATAATATGAACAACCATGCTTTATTAGGGGCTTTCTAAATATACAATCCGCCAAACTGAACATTTTCATAGTATACGCTTACTAAAGCCGTCGACCTTCGAGTTCTTGGTCAAGTTTATCCGGGGTCTGTCTTGCCTTTAAGTTCCAGCTTTATCATGACTGAGTTCTTTCGGGTGCTGGCCTACGAGGCTTTGTTTTAGTCCTCTGAGTAGAGCAGATTCTGCAACCTAAGCTGGATATGAATGCTGATGTCAGTTCTGCCTGCTAATGTCAGTTCTGCTACTAGACCTTCGATTTCCCAGTCAGAACATTGAATAGGATCTGTAGAAATACATTCCTTCGTTAAACGTTCAGCGAAAAATTGAAATATATGCTTAAAGAAATTTCCTATAAGGCATGAATCGCTGAGCATCGCCACAATACGAGCACAAAAGGCTGAGTTAATTCTGCCGTACAGTCTCGTTTAGTTGAACCACTGTCTAACCAGATAACATTTTGCATTTCCATGTGCATGTTTAAGGTGTTAGCTGTTAACAGACATAACAGTGCATTACCTGTCTTTGGAAAAGTCACGTCTCGAGAAACCTTGTGGCAAAGACCACAGAAGGTGATTCAGTGAGAAGGGTGTGATGGTGAACGGGGCAACTGACTCACTTTGAGCACCATGGGCAAGGCGGGTTGAACTAACTCGACTACATTTTAAGCCGTTGAAATAACATGTTTTTTCCCCATTATTTTAAAGCAAAGTTCCTGGATAAACGGACAACACAACCTGATTTTCAGTGATAGCAAACGAGAGCCTGTTCGATAGTTTTTCAGCTTGGCTCATTACACAGTGGCAACGCAGAAGATCAACTAAGGACAAAGTTTGTAGTAATTGTGCCCACCGCAGGCTCTAGTTCAGTTAACCGTTTTCCTCGCGTTTATACATGATCGTGGCTTCACACTTTAATTGAACTCTGGCTTAAAAGTAAGAAGCCACAAGCCTGGCTAATATATGACCATTTAAAAATCACCTACGTACATTTAAGTTCACCTGAAAGTTTGGCGTTATTGAATCCACACCTATCAGAGATGAGGCGTCGATATTTCTCCCTCCCACGTAAGTAAATCCTGAAAAGATGGCAGAAGCAGCCCATCTTTTTTTCCAAAAATCGGTGAACTGAACTGTGCGCAAAGCGAATACTTCTGCAAACTAACAGTGAAAATGACTCGATGGCTTTTATAGCCACGCACGCATGTACACTTGATAACCTACTAAACACACCTCGCATTACCAGCTCGAGCAGCTTTTTCTTTTTGCTAATTTTCTTGACTGACGGTTGCTATGCTCAGTTTCCTGTTACGTATAATGGGCTCTTTGCATGGCTTTATCACGTGATCAACTTGCGGTAAACACGAAACAATTCAGTTTTGAAAAATTTGTTAGCACAAGCTGAAAGAAGATACTAAAAATAGGTAACCTGAGCATTTTCAGCCGTATATCTCAAAAGTAACGATTGCGACGGCCGCCGAAAGTTGGAAGCATTTGTAGGAGAAAAATAACTTAACCATCCAGTCACGCTTGCATGGTTTTACAAGGGTTTGTATGGAAAACCATGCAAGTGTGACAGGGTGGTGGCAAAAGGTGTTATTCTCATACAAGTGCTTCTAACTTTCGGCTACTAACTATGCTTTCGGCAGCCGTTGCAATCACTACTTTTGAGATATACGGCTGAAAATTCTCAGGTGACCTAATTTTAATATGCTCTTTCAGCTTGTGCTAAAAGAATTTCTAAAAAGCGAACTGTTTTCGTGTTTACCGAAAGTTGATCATGTGACCACAGTCATGAAAAGAGCCTAATAGCCGTCGATCTCGTGCGTGTCTATAGTCGGCCTTTTGTTTCAAAATTATGACACGATATACGTGCGGTTTTTTGCCACGTATACTTGCGATCTTTCCTGCTTTGTGGTTTTTCCCCCAAATATGTGACCATTTTCTTCTCATGCGTCTGTTCCTTGCAAATATACGCCTAACAAACACGCTAGTCGTGGATATTTACCTCACTGCTTCACAGTTCGGTTAATATCCACGACTAGCCACCTCAACTTCGGTGAATAATTGTTATATACACATTAAACTTGACTTGACTTGACTTGAATGTTGTGGGTGGTTTAAAGTATACTTGTTTTGAGCCTGAATGAAGTGAAACCAGGGTCATCAAATTTCCCCAAAATTCAAAATTCTCCAGCTTATCAAAAGCCGACGAATAAAAATATATTTTGCAGAATCTTTTCTAAATTAGTAATGCGACTGCGTAAAATGGTCAACATTGTCGGCAGTTTACGAGAAAGAATGCCTTCATTTGTTTTTCTTTGTTCTCCAAGGTCCTTACGGGGTAAACTAGTGAAACTTTTATTGCCTTGAAAATACAAATGAAACAATGGAACCACTCGCTTGTTTAGTTTACGTGCAGAAGCTGTTAAAGAAATGCGTCAAATAACAACTGCTTACCGTTTCGCCGTGACGGGCGCAGAAAAAGCGCTTGGCTGATAATTGTAATCGGTGGGAATATACTGTGGGATTCACCCCGGATCTTTGACTAAGATACAACCAGTTTTATTCGGCGAATTTTAGACAAGCCTGTGACCTGTCGAACAACACTAGGGGTTACATCAGGTTCATACGAAATTACCGTCATCTAGCCAATGCTTTTGTTTCGTTTATCTTTAATATTTCAGGTCTTGTATTGTTTGTTAGCAATAGGCTAACATGGACTTTCGCAATCTTGAGCCCAGCACAACTGCTGACCAAGCCAGGAAGACTCTGGGCTCGAGATTGGCACTGTCGGCCACTTGAACTAATTAAAAAGATCACTGGGCAAATAATCTTTTGCTGGCCATCCATATGGCCATTTTTCTCCTTTATTGCTAGTTATTTTCGCCATTAAATTGTAATACATAAAATAAACAAACTCAATTGTGGTGGATACTCCACGCCTCTTGACTCGAGCCACGTCCACACTACGCAGAAGAAATTTTATTTCTCCGGTTCGGCATACAGTTTACACTAATCTGTCACAAGAACGGAGCTTTTCAAAAACGCTCTTCAAACCGGAAGAATTAGAAAACCGTAGCTTTCCGTTTTAGCGTGGACGGAAAACATAAAATATGTAACGTTTCGAAAACCCTCTTTAAATCTGCGGAATTTGAAAGCGCTAGCTTTCTATTTTAGTGTGGGCGGAAAACATTTTAAAAACGGAGCTTTTAAAAAACGATGACATCACGATAATGGTGTGATTTCCCTGCCAGAGGTTTCCTCCAACACAAATCTGAAATGACCGGCCGGTTATTGTTACCTTTTTAAATTTCTCCATGAACAGGACCGTTTTCAACTTTCTCCGGCGTAGTGTGGACGACACCAGCAACAACAACTATTTCTACTCACTCAGCTAAAAATTAAATGAACAAGAATAAGTTTAAATGAATACGAGCACATGGCTGCCCGAAATAACCTTAGACTTTAGTTATGTAAGTATTCCTACAGACAGGGTGAAATCAAAGTCAACCGACATTTACCTAAAATAGACTGTTCACAAACCTCTATTTTCTCGTATTTTATTCTATTGTTGAATGCCTGGATAGAATCGGGAGAAAACTGGACGCCAGCGCAAAACGGAAGACTTGAGGTGGTGCTGACCTAGAAAAATATATATATTATATTTTTCTTGCTCGCTTCGCTCGCAAACCCGACCTCCAAGACCACGTGCTTCGCTCAAACTTCGCTCGCTTTTTCTTGCGCATTCTTGAATAGAGAGGTCGGTAACAGTCTATACCTAAAACTGCAATTAAAACACGTGCAGTTGTCGTTCAATTTGTGAAACGAAATCTCTATTACATCCTGCAATATAATGTCTGCTGAAATCTTTAACAAAGATCATAGCTAAATATTTTGAAACGTGAGCCACTCATTTTTCTTTTACTTTCCCCCTTTTTGAAGAATTAAGGCAATTAAAATTGCCCTTAGATTGGTTCCCAATTGAATGCCTTAAAACCGAAACCAAATAATAACTGGAGTCAATAACAAAGCACACAAACAATCCAATGAACCAATCAAAACTCGAAGTATTTACAGGTGGCTGACTCGAATTACGAGAAAACGTGTGGATCGTTTTTGTTTTACCTCTGATGGGACAAAAAAGTGTGGCGCGAGTTTCTAAAGCGGGTCATACAGCATGCTAATGCAGAAAAAAGCAAATGCAAATCACTTTCAACAATCGAGAAGCTTTTTATCGCCCACCCCCTTTTTTTTGCTAAAGTCGATGAAAAAGGAAGAAAATCTCTGTACTCGGCCAGGGGACTTGGTAAGCGTTAACTAACATACTTCCTCATGGATTCCTATTACTTCACAAACATTTTTTTTGTTTGACGGCATCAATTACGATTCTTAATTAGTTTCCCTTGTTATAAAATAAGAAAAATGGTGAACGTTTGGGTTCATGTAAATATTCAGAGGCTGAAGTTAAAAAGCGGGTGCTCGTTAACAGGCAGCAAGCCGCGTCTCTCGTCATCGTTATTGCTTTCATCTTCTCTTGCTCCAGCCAAATCGCCATTGTCGCTACTGTTACCAGTGACAACAAGAAGACGCAAAATAACACCAACAAGAACGACCAGGACGCATGAATTGACAAACATCACAACCCAGACGAATGCAACTGTGTAGGAGCTGTCCAAAGCCGAAAACCTCACCAGCATAAAAGACATGGACAACACGAACAACACCAGGGGCTCTTAGGGCTCTAAACGTAAGCAAAGAATGGCTGAAACCATAAGTATCAGCCAAACAACAAACGTTTGCAAAGAAGAGGAAGAAGAAATCATAGACAACGCTGTGGCGAGAAGCAAGCGTCGAAGAAGCATGAAAACCTCGAAGAAGTGCTGGTACTTTGGTTTGTAAGGTAAATAGACAGGAGCAAGCCAAGCATCAAGTTTCTCGCGATCCTCAGGACTCATGATTTCTCTCTTTCGAAAGAAAGCAAACATCAGATAAATGAGAAGCAAGGGAAACCCAATGAGATAAAACGCAACAGAGACGCCACCAAGGACTGATAGAGTTTTGTAAGTGTGAGAGGTGCATTCAATCCAGGGAAAGTTTGGCATGTAAAGAACATCACGGTCATTGTGGCATGGGCGTAGAATGGAGAGAGTTTGCTTTACAATGGGAAAGTAGCTGAAGTTAAGGCAAAAGAAGGCACTTTGACGACATTTGAAATGAACGTTTTCCATACGTTCCTGGTCTCGACGAAACCTGTCGTAAGTCATCAAGATGATGAAATACAAACCTATCATTGCCATGCAAGCAACTGGAAGAAGAAGCACAAAAGCAAACTTGCCAACGGGAGTGAAAAAGGAAGGTAGGTCGCAGGAAAGCGAAGGAAAATAAAGGTTCCAGTAGCTACTCAAATACGTCTGAGCCACTACGACTTTTTTAGGCCAAACATTGGCACTGGATATCAGAAAATCCATGGTTTGAATATAAAACACTGTGATGCTGATGAGAGGTTGGGCTGCTTTTCCTCTACTGGTCATACACAGCACAAAGACCACCAGATTTAATTTGAAAACCCAGGCTGGCAGTAATTCCAACAACATGAATGTTAACATTAAAAGAAAATGAGCTGCCGTAACTGCAAACCATTTGATTGGTCTCAGTTTGAAGTAAAAGTATGACCAAAGTAGAGCAAGGAATGACACAGCAAAGGAAGGAATAAACAGATAGTAGTAAATTTGGTCGCCCTTTGGACATTTGAAGCACAGTCCACCAAGTTTATAAAATCCGTCTTGNGAAGGCACTTTGACGACATTTGAAATGAACGTTTTCCATACGTTCCTGGTCTCGACGAAACCTGTCGTAAGTCATCAAGATGATGAAATACAAACCTATCATTGCCATGCAAGCAACTGGAAGAAGAAGCACAAAAGCAAACTTGCCAACGGGAGTGAAAAAGGAAGGTAGGTCGCAGGAAAGCGAAGGAAAATAAAGGTTCCAGTAGCTACTCAAATACGTCTGAGCCACTACGACTTTTTTAGGCCAAACATTGGCACTGGATATCAGAAAATCCATGGTTTGAATATAAAACACTGTGATGCTGATGAGAGGTTGGGCTGCTTTTCCTCTACTGGTCATACACAGCACAAAGACCACCAGATTTAATTTGAAAACCCAGGCTGGCAGTAATTCCAACAACATGAATGTTAACATTAAAAGAAAATGAGCTGCCGTAACTGCAAACCATTTGATTGGTCTCAGTTTGAAGTAAAAGTATGACCAAAGTAGAGCAAGGAATGACACAGCAAAGGAAGGAATAAACAGATAGTAGTAAATTTGGTCGCCCTTTGGACATTTGAAGCACAGTCCACCAAGTTTATAAAATCCGTCTTGACAACGAGAGCAAAACCTGTCCGTGTTTCCTTCATGACAGATGCAGGAGAGATTGCATGTTGTGATCAATGATGATACTGAAGGTCTGTGGTGAGACGAGTTTGTGTGTTTTGGTGTTGTTTCGAGTCTTTCGAGTCGACATGTGCAGGCAGCTGATGGATTACATGCAGTTGACACTGGGCACTTGACCAGATGGGTGACACTGTTAGGAGTGGGCGATGGCCAATAGCCACCTCGCAATGTCATGTTGTTTGGATAGACATAATTTGATTCAGTGAAGTTAAACTGAGGGCACGTACCACCATCCATGCATTTCTTGCACAACCCACTATGTCCGTAGAAACCTGTATCGCAGACGCAATGTTTGTACTCGTAAAATGTTGGATCCAGACGAATACGGCCATTGCTTATTGTGAGCCGTCCTTCAGGACAAGTAAAGTTATCTTCTTCCGTTGGTGTAAACATTCTTGAAAAGTCAGGACGAAAGACGGTCGACGATGCTGTAGTTCCTTCTTGCATAGAAGGATTTCCAGAAATATCCAAAAATTGTAAGGAGATGAGAGTTTGGATCCCTAGTGGAAAACTTCCCGACAGGTTATTCGAGGAGATGTCAAAATAAGTCAGGATGGACGTGTCCCCAAAAATATCCGGTATCTCTCCGTAAAACTTGTTTTTATGTAAATCGCAGGTAGTCATTGTAAAGTAGAACACTCTTGCGGGCAAAGGACTATCTATGTCACAATTGCTCAAATTTAAAACTAATGGACCTCCTTCGAAGATTTCCATAAAGCTTGCTAATTCAATGTTCAAATTTCTATTTCCTGCCAGTGAAACGTACGATTTAGCTCCTGCGCTGACATTTTTTTTTAATAACCACGGCTTCCCTTTGTTAATTGAAGAAAACTTGTTTTGCGACAAATCGATCATTTTCATTTGTGGAAAAAGAAGCAACTGACCTGGGATATCCCCTGTCAGTTCATTGTTTGCTAAATTCAGCGCTTCAAGTTTGTTAATTTCCGGAATTGTTTGAGGAAATTTGCCCGAAATACTGTTACCAGGAAGAATGAGACTTACTAAATTTGCTGGCAGCATTGAAGGCATTTCGCCAATTAATTTGACCCCAGATACTGACAAAAAGTTTAGCGAAGAAATCGAAAATAAGTCACTTAGATGGCCATGCATCATACCAGGTGTGTTTCGTAGGTCCAGATAATAGAGCTTGTTTAATCTAGAAATGCTTCTTGGAATTTGTCCCTTTAGCCTATTTCCTCCAAGACAGAGTAGTCGTAGCTCCGTCATGTTTCCTATGTTGTCTGGCAAACGACCTGTGAACCCATCACCGTGCATGGTACAACCCAGGAAATTCTGTAGATAACTCAGCTTGGCGATATCTTGCGGAATATCTCCAGAGATAGAGGCTGCGTTGAGCACCACGGTGAGTAGTTTGCTCATATTTCCAAACAAAAAGTCACCAATACGTCCCCTCAGTCTTGGATTACCAGGAGTGCACAATGCCATCAAGTTCCGGATTTTCCACAAATTTGAAGGAAGAGAACCATCCAAGTTGTTGTAAGCCAGCACGATAGTTTTAACGTATGTGTTGTTGTGGCAGGTGATACCATACCAGGCACAGTGAGTTGTTGAACTATTCCACGCGGTCGTGTTGTACCACTGCTTGCCATTTGTTGCTTCGTAAATGTCGAGGAGAACTTCTCTTTCTTGGTTGGGTGTAAAAGTTTTATCGTAGGTGACATTGGGAAACTCGCCATGATTATAAACGCGCTTCAAACAATCATAGCCTTCGTCGTCAACGAAGATTTGCCAATCTGAAAAGAAATAATTTTGTATTACTTGATGTTGATCTGTATGACTAGTATAAAATTTTGACGGAGTTTTAAGAGGGGCACCTGGCATTTTAGTAAAACATAAACGTTTCATGAAATCATTCACTTGAATTAAAATGTTAAGATAACAATTCCCCAAAACGCATTGGCGATCATGAAATCGTGCAGTGGACCATACGTACGGCGATCTTTTGTCTGGTCATTCTGGATTTCATGAACCAGTTCTAGGAAGTGTAATGTGCACGTGATGTCCAAGAATGTCATTGAGCTAAAGTACGCTTTGATACAAATTTCCTCTGTATTTTCTCCTTTGATCGAGCAAGCAGCGTCGAAGCCATGTTCTTTCCAAGTTCAAAATATTAGCGGAGCTCCACGAGCGCGCGAAGCGCGCGCGTGGGCGGAGCCCCATAGCTAAGGAAATCTACCCATCCCAGAAAATTTGGTAATCACGTGACCGACCGACCGTCCGTCCGCACCACAGGCATACCAATGTTTACTCTCACACTTTCTAGCTTCTTTGGGAGCCTAGGAGAAAGCTGATTGCACATCAATGTTGTCATCAATTGACAGCTGTCAAGACAGGGTATCCGCTGACCACTATCACCTGACCGTTTCGCGGGCTCAGGTGTCGACCCATCAAGGTCGAGTATTTTTCGAAGTTATCCGCTGACAATTTACTCGTTTTCAAATGATCGCAGGCTCACGTTTACTTTTGTTTTAAATTCACAACAAATATGTTGTGTTTATGTCAGTATCGCCCCGCTCTATTACGATTTTGATTTCAAACTGACCTCAGACGCAAAAATTCAGCCAGTTTTTTTAAAATACAGGCGGAGAAGACCTTTTCTTACCATGGTCACGTGTTGGTGACGCTCCACGTCCAATTTTTATGCTCTGATTGGTTAAAATTTGACAGGTGAGTTCATGCGTAAAATTTATGCAGCATCTTGAAAGTTGTTTACTTTGATAGCTGAAGCTGACAGAGTTTTGAGTCAACTTGTGATGTTTTTAACTGTCTTTTTCCACTGGATGTACAAAATGAAATACAGCTGCTATCAAGAGTGTTCTCTTATTCATGGCTGGTTTGTTTATTGGGTTTTTGGTTGAAAAATGCGTCGCTTGTCAAAGCCGATAATCCGATTTCGGATGGCATCGTTTTTGTTTTTCACCTTGCTGGATGTGTACGAGAATTATAAAGGCTCAAGCGATCCTTGCCTTACTTGATAGCTTTCAGGAGCTGCATCTCGAAATATGGTAAGCCTGAGTAATTATTGTATTTAAATCTAATTTCACGAAGTCCAGCTGCGCAGTTTATGAAGCTAGTTTATGCACGTTTGTATTAAGATTTGACTGAGACACTGATCTGACCTCGTATGAGGTTTGATATAAGCTTAAGCTTACAGAACTTTGAAAAGCCTTTAGTCGATATTAATTTACCGTAAATAGAAAGAAAAAAGTTTCCGAAGAATATTTAGTTATAATTTTGGCTGTAGAAAGAAAGCTTTGAACGATTTTCTTATCGTGAGTTCATCTTTGAAAACAGCCAACACCGGGAAACCGGCGGCTTAAAACATAAACTTTAAGCTTACTAGTAAAGACTTGAGGATTCTTAGACACACTTAAATACTCATTTGTTTTCGTGAATGAAAATTGTTGTCTCTGTAAATGTTCTATCGAATTATTTTTCTTTATTGATTTTTGGTAGTCTCAAAAGTGTAATTTTCATCGCTTTGCCGTTTGTTTTCAGCAGTTCATAAACAGGCAGGTACAAAAGTCGGACCGGATCAACTCTGACCGCCAGTCCGGGTCGGATCAACTCGGATCGACTCAGACCAATTCGGATCGAATAAAAAAATACAAAAAGAATAAACTTGGACTCGGATCAACTCGGAGCAATCAAATAAAATTAAATTAAATCAGCAAAACTGAAAGTTTAACCCATTTGGAGGGTAAAAAAGGCCAGATCATCCCTTTTTTCTCCGTGGCTTTCAGGCGCCATTTTGTTTTACTAGTGCCAGTTCCTCTTGGATCATGTTATAAACTCGGATGACCTCGAGGAAGGTAAAATCTCGACCATCTTTCTCAATGAATTTGCTTCATTCCAAGAAAATGATAGTTTCAGTCGCCTAGAATATATATTTGCTTATTTTTTATTTATTGCAGCTTTTTGTCACAAAGCAAAGAAGTTGAGGTGAGTGATCATAAGTTATGCGCATAATTTTTGATTAATAAGTGTACTGAATTATTTATGAGAAAAGCATGAAACGCCTGGTCTGTTGATCGCATTTAGATAGTTACCGAAGAGTGTTTGTTTGTTTGTTCCTGTTTTTTTTTTTTCTGCAGGACTTCTGAAACTTAATTTCAATGATATACTAGTGAGCAGCACACATACACTTCCAGTGAATATTTTCAACTTGGAAGGAGAAACCATGCTCGCCCGGGACAAAGGAAATTTCCATGCCCCGAGCAAGAATCGAACTCGCGACCCTCCGGTTCAGTGGTTGGAACGTCCGATAAATGCACCTATCAATGTAAACCCCGTGGGGGAGGAGTGCGGGCAAGGGGTGGGGATTTGACAAATTTTAAAAATTTTCGATCAAATTCCCCAGGGTGGGAAACGAAAGGTCAATCAAAAGTGTCAAAAAAGCCCCCACCCCAGGGGAAAAAAATCTAAACAAACAATGCTATAATACTATATAAAACGAATAAAAGAACATTTCAAACACGTTGTTACTACTTTTATTCACGGTTAACGGAAGCTCCATTAAATTACTCGTTGTAATTAAGTATTTTCTCTCTCCACTAGCATATCTTATCTTGAACAACAAAATCACTCCAGGAAGATTGACCGTGCTATATAATATTAATAAAACTTAAAATGCTTTATAACATCTGCTCAACATGTTGGAACATGTCGGATCAGTGACCCATAAAAAATCCTCTGACTTTCATGGTGGAATTCGATTTCAATCGAGTTTTACAATCAGATGGGAACTTGAAGATAAAAACTTTCTCAAAATAGACATTATATGTTTAGATGACAGTTTAAAGTATCGGATTATGGCGATTAAAACAAATGAAAACTTCATACCTTTCTCCAACAGCGTGACTTTCAGGAAGCCTCGAGGGACGGACTTGGTAACTGCCTCTGAATTGATACCAGGCTGTTGTCGGTCAAAGTCAAATGTCCCGACCCCGGGGTCGCTTCGCACGATCAAAAGCCCGATAGTGGGGATAGTCCCAGGCATCAAATCCCCTCCCCTTGCCCGCACTCCCCCCCCACGGGATTTACATTGATAGGTGCAAAACATGTAGTATTCGGAGGGTCGTGAGTTCAATTCTCTCCCAGGGTACGAAAATTTTCGTTGTCCCGGGCAAGCATGATTTCTCCTCCTTCCAAGTTGAAAATGTTCACTGGAAGTGTTTGTGTGCTGCTCACTAGTGTATCATTAAAAGAGAAAAAAACAAAATGGCGGGTGAAAGTTAAGTGATACCGACTGATTTTATTTTTCTTTTTATAATCTGAGTTGTTTTTTTATGATCCGAGTTGATCCGAGTCCAATTTTATTTTATTTTTATTTTTTTATTCCATCCGAGTCGGTCCGAGTCGATCCGAGTTGATCCGACCCGGACTGGCGGTCCGAGTTGATCCGGTCCGACTTTTGTACCTGCCTGTTCATAAACATCGCTTGCAGGAGTACTCAAAATGCCAAGCGTATCAAACGCTTTTTAAGATTACACATCGTTATAAAACTGTTAATAAAAAATAGACTCAATAAATTCTTTATCACGTTGAAGCGTAACTCTTTTAAAATTTCTTCGCAAATTTGGCGCTTGAACGGTTTCGCTAATTAAAAGTCCACGCGTGCTTTGATGGTCCTGAATAGTGAATGAATGCAATTTGTCTTGAAAAACTGTGAAATACTGCGAGGTCTGTATGATAAAAACAGCGCCTCATAGTACTCTTTCTCCTCAAATGTGGTGTATAAAAACAATAAAAGATTGGTTTGCACGCTCCCAGATTTATTGGCAAGAATTTGTAAACTTATCGAGCGCAAAAAATCCGGTCTGATTTCTTTTCCAAGAATTTGTTTTCCACGCCTTATTTACTGTGATCAAGAGCCAGCATTGCTCTTAAATGTGACCGAAGACTATTTTTTGGGTGTACATACAAGGCTATATCAACTCGATACAAAATTGTTTCACTCCAAAATCACTTAGCTTTTCCCTCAAAAGTCACATGAATGTGCCCCTTAGTTAACTGATTTGTGGAATACAAAATTATTGTTTGATTTAAGTTATAAATTTATCAATGGGAGCTTCGCTTTTAGCTGTGGCTAAATATATATATTATTCCTTGGTAGTCTGACTTTGATGCTGGTTACACCTTCTTCCATAAAACTGAATTAAGTTGTTTACAAGCTCAGATCAGAAATTAATTCACGACCAAAAACTTGTTAAAAGGTGCTCTTTGAAATATGTTGAATTACAAGAACTATAGACCTTTGCATAAATAGCGCCTAAATTTAAACAAAAATACTTTCTTGACATCTTAAGCCTGACATTCATGTGAAAAATCAGTTCTCTGGAAACATAAGCCATTTATGCAAAGGGTTTACTTGTGCAGTGCATGCAGTGACAATGCATGTTTCTACTAACGTGATCAAAGTTATTTATCCGCAAAATGGAGTGCTTGACTTGTCCATATAAGAACAACCGAAAAAATAATCCAAATTAGAAGGGCAGGCAATTTCATGAAAGGTAGCATAAATAAGGATTAAATAAACCAAACGTAAGATCTGTGTCGCTACTTTGAGATTTGCTATCAACCATGAAATTTTATCGCTATGGTCGGAAGTTGCTGTGATCATGAAGCTGCTAATAGGAGGAACGTTAACTGAGTTTGAGAACCGACCTCACACACCCTAATCTTGATCAGATTCAGATTCTGATCTTTTATTGGATATGACGCTGAGAACT